GAGCAGAGGCACAGGGTCGTATGCTTACCCTTGTCCACCTGCCTCCCCACACCTGCCCCAGCCACTCCACACACTGCCCTTCAGTCTTTCCAGCCCACCTCGCATCCCCCCCTTGCCCACAGGGCCACTTCCAAGGGGCTGCACGGTCTCCCCACTGGCCACTCGGCTGCCCTGGATGCTGCAGAGAATGCCCCTTGCCTGGGCCTGCCCTCCGCTCAGCTCTCACTGCCGGCCTCACTCCATGGCCTCCAAAGGCTGGACCTGAGGCCTTGAAGGGCAGCTGTGGGGCACATCCGTCCTGGTGGTTCCTCTGGTGTCTGCACCCCTGGCCCCCAGCCGGGGAAGCACAGGGCCACCTCCCTATCTGCCAGCCCCGCCCCAGCCCCCATGGGCTCTGGGTCACCCCAGCCTCACCATAAGAGGCTGACTTCCCTACAAGCAAGCCTGAGCCCCCAGCCCCACACACACTCCCTCTAGGAGCCCTTCCTCTGAGCAGCCAGCAGGCATGTGGCCACACAGGACCCCTAGCTGGGCCCCAGGCTCATAAGAGGGGTGCCCCCATCTCCTGGCAGTTACCCTGTATGCATAGTCAGCCACTCCCACCATGACAGCAGTGCCTGAGGGCAGGGCCAGGGCAGGCTCCCATGCAATTCCCCAGAAGCCCTGACCAGGCCCCCAGACAACCCTCTAGTAAACAGAGGACAACCTTTACAAGGTCATGCTAGCACTGGCGGGTGCAAGCACGAGGAACACCCACTGTGAAGGCCCAGGCACGGCCGAGAGACAGCATGCCGGCTCACACTCCAGGCTCTCCTCCATCTAGGAATAAACCTAAATATATAAAGAGCTCTTACAAATCAACAACAAAGACCCAGAACTGAGCCAAGAGCCGGGCAAAGAAACTGAGTAGACAGACATTTCTCCAAACAAGACATACAGATGACAAACATGCCCGTGAAGGATGCTCAGCGTCGCCCATCATCAGGGAAGTGCCACTCAGAGCACAGTGAGATGCCACCCCACACCCCCTGGGAGGGCTAGAAGAAAAGGCAAAGTAGACCAACACACCAGAAATAACAAGGACCCGTGAGGATGTGGAAGCCCTGGACGTTTCCATATTGCTGGTGGGAGGGTAGCATGGTGGTTACCATAAGATCTAGCAATCCCACCTCTCGGTACATACATGGGAACTGAAAACCCACATCCACGGAAGAACTGGCACACCGATGCCCATGGCGGCATCACGAGAGCTGAACAGTGGAAGCCAGCCAGGTGTCCGTCAGCAGGAAGTGCATGCAACAGAGTGCCTTGTATCCACACAATCGAACATGACTGGTCACCGAGGGAATGAGGCACGGATGCACGCCACAGCATGGACAGGTCTTGCAAATGCTATGCTCAGTGCAATAAGCCAGACACAAAGGCCACATGCTGTATGACTCCGCTCGTGTAAAATGTCCAGAGCAGGCAAATCCACAGAGACAGAAAGTGGATTAGCAGTTGCCAGGGGCTGGTGTTGGAGGGGGAAGACAGGATATGAGGTTTCTGGGTTGATGGAACGCTCTGGAATTAGATAGTGCTGCTGGCCGCACAGCCTTGTAGATGCACCAGAAACCACCCCCGTCAGCAGGGTGACTCTGGAATAGGAGTTCTGTTTCAGTCACAGAAGGAACGTGAGCCCTACATACCCCCTGACCCCATTTGCAGTGGCCCAGAGCACCTTAGCTGCCTTTCGGATTGCCTCAAGCACCTCACACACCAACGCCTGGCCTGGCTGGTGGAGCCTCCTCCATATAGGGCTCCAGGCTGCCTGGACCAGACAGACCTCCCGGCAGGGCCCTGCTCCCCTGAGCCAGTCTGCAAGTCTTTCCCACAGAATGTAGGGTGTTGGGGCCAACCCCAAGAAAGGGCCCTTCCTACTTCTCTGAAGATGAACTATGTGGGAAGCCTGAGGCCTCTGCTACCCCAGCAGCCCCCGGATGTAAGTCTAGAGGCAGCCACAGGGTCCCCGCTGGGGCTGGCTTGGCACACGCAGGATCTCTAAGGAAAGGGCAGTGTGGTAGCAGGGAGCCCAGGCCCTACTCTGCTGGACCCAGCCCCTGGCTCCATGCTTGGGGGAGTACCAGGGTGCCTCACCCCGGGCTCGGGGCGTCCCTTCCTGAACAGATTTTCATCAGACACTGATCACTCCTCGGCTCCGTGTTCTCACCTCTAACGCCAGAAGCAGGGCCAGGCAAAGTTTTCAGCCCACCCAGGTCCACGGGGCATGGGGGCAAGGGGGTAGGGGTCTGAGTCTGTTTCCCAAACTCTCCAGGACACCTGGAGCCGGCCCCTTTCTGCTGGGAGCCAGGCCCCCCTCCTTCTAGGAGGGCATCGGGCCAAGCCATCTAGGCCCCTGGAGAACCAGATGGAAACACCACCTGCTAATCACACCGCCAAGAAGCAGGGCCAGGCCACTGAGGGAGAGGGAAGAGCCCCTTCCCCGCGGCTAGGCAGCGGCCCGGAGGGTCCTACCTAGTGGCCAGAGGCTAGGAGGGCAACAGGAACAGGCGGGCTTGGGTTGCAGCCTCTGGAGGGGGCAGGGAGGGCTCCCACCACCCACGTGACACGCCACCCCCCCCCCCCCCCCCCCCCCCCCCCCCCCCCGGGCCAGCCTCTCTCGGTTTCTGGGCTGTAACAGGAGCTGCCCTGCCTGCCTGTGAGCCTCCGTGCCAGGCAGAGCTCTCGAAGAGGGGGAAGGGAGAAGGAGGGCCTGAATCCCAGCTCCTTCCCCCTGCTCACTCTGCACGCCAGGCTGGAAGGGAAGCCCTCAGCCCCAGTCCCCAGCCCCAGTCCAGCCCCAGCCCTGCCCCAGTCCAGTCCAGTCCCTGACCCAGTGCAGCCCCAGTCCAGTCCTACACCAGTCCCAGCCCCAGCCCTGCCCATCTTGGGCCATCTCCTTCCCCTGGCACTTCAGCTGGGTCGGGGAAAAGGGCCCCAGACCTGGGCCCGGCCAGTCACTGCTGACCAGAAGGGCTGGGCCTCCACATACAGACTGGCCCACAGCATGTCCTGCCTGCTCCTCTCCTCCCAGGTCCGGCCCACCTTGGGAATCAACCTCTGAGGTGCTTGCTGGGTAAAGACCCCTGGAGTCTCTACCCTGCTCTGCCAGTCCAGCTGACACCCAGCTGCCCCCCCCAGGACCTCTGTCCATCCAGCTGGCACCTGGCTGCCCCCCCCCAGGACCTCTGTCCGTCAAGTAGAACCCAGCTGTCCTGCCTGGTGCTGATGGTGGCAGGGCCCACAGCAGAGCCCACTGCCCCTGGAGCCATATATCTGCCTCCTACACTCTCCACAGGAAAGCCTTTGAGGCCAAAGCGCTGGGCAAGAGGGCTGGTCAGGGGAGTTCACGGGGATGCCAGGCCCTCCCTATGTCCCACCCACAGGCCCACAGGCTAAATAGCAGAGCTCAGCAACTTCCCCAAAGGTACAAAGTCGGAGGATGTCCTGGGGTGGGGTTGGGGAGCTGCCGGCCAGGACCTGGGACCCCCACCTCCCCTCTGTGGCTCTGACCTCCCCAGGAAGAGCAGGGCTGGCAGCAGGGAGCCCCGTCGAGCAGAGGAGCCCAGGGTGTGTCTGAAGCCTGGTGCGCAGACCCGAGGCTGGGCCGGGAGAGCGGGGAGGCACAGCTGGCTGACAGGCCGCCGTGACTCACCGTGGACCTGCGGCCAGACGGCCATCCTCTGACCCTCCCTCTGCCCGCGAGGGTGAGGCGAAGGCTGCACAGATGGTGTGCAGGGGCGTGCCAGCCTCTGCACAGCCGAGGCCCCAGCCAAGACAGGGCTGCCGGGTGGGGTCTCCAGGGGAAGTAGACACGGAGCTGACCCTGGAAGACGACCCAGGAGAAAGGAACAGAAGGAGAAAGGGGGGGAAAGAAAAACACAAAGGGAAAGTTTCCCATGAAAATATTTTATTTTCTTTGAGAACAGGATACACCTGCAGGGCTCCTAGCCCAGTGGCCTCTCCCCGCCCTGACGGTGCCACATTTCTGGACCAACGGGGCCCTCTGCCGGCCAGCCGCCGCGCGACGGCGCCCGAGCCCGGGGCGAGGGAACAGGTGACGGGCGGAGGGCGGCGGCCAGGAGCAGCCACAGGGCGCCCAGGGCCAGGGCCAGGGCGAGAGGGTGGGCCGCGGCTCCGGGGGCGGCGCCTGGGCGGCAGGAGCGGAAGCCAGAGACCCCGCGGGGTGCTGGCGCTGTGCCACCCCGAGCCTCGCGGTGCCCGTCTGCGTGGCGCAGCGAGGGAGGGTCCCCAAAGGTCTCTGGGCTGGACATCCCAGATCTGGGAGACAGGGGCGAGGAAGGGCAGGAACGAATGGCCGGGAGCGACGCGCTGAAACCACGCACACTGCTCCTACGGAGACGCGCTCGGGGCGGCGACCCCTGAGACGGCGGGGGGCGGCGTTCACGGCCCCAGCCGGGCCCTGCGCACCGGGTCGGGTCCCACAGACGTGCTCCCGCGGGGCCAGGGCCCGAGCGGGCGTAAGAAGCAAAGCGCAAGAAAAATAAATTCCTCTAGCTTGGAGTTATTTTTTTTTCCTTTGGGGATCGGTGCAAGGAACATCTGGATTTTGTACGTATTTTTTTGTTGTTGTTAAATTAACTTCTCGAGGAGAGAAAGGCGGGGGGAAGCTGCAAAGGGGGGGGTGGGCAGGGGCCAGGGGAGGCTCCAGCGGTTCCGCCAGAACTCGGCGGCCTAACAGGGAGCCAGGACCAGCTTTGGTCCCCGAGCTCCGGGAAGCCCCGCGCACGGGAGCGTCGCGGCCACGACGGCTCCGAGGTCACGGAAGACCGCAGCCCCGCGCCAGCCGGTCGTCGGGTGTACCGGCCCCTCTCCCCACGCCGCGCCGCGAGGACGCAAACAAACAGCGCCCGGCAACCCGCCGGCCCACGCCAGCCGGCTCGGGCCCGCGCACCTGGGCCGCCCGCCCCGCGCCCCGTCCCCGCGCCGCCCGCACCTACCCGAAGTAGGCGGCCGAGGGGCGCAGCGCGGCGAGCAGCAGCGTCAGCGCGAAGGCCGCGGCCAGCCAGCGCGCCAGCAGGGGCCCATCCAGCATCTTGCCGCGCCTCGGCGGCTGACCATCGCGCTCCCGGCCCCGCGCAGGGCGCCCCGCTGCCGCTGCCCTCTTATAGCGCCCGGAGCGCCCGGCCGGGGGCGGGGCGCCGGCCAGCTGGGCCCGGCCCGCCCGCGCCCAAGGAGGGGTCACGCCGGCGCCGGAGGCGGGCCGAAACCCGAGCCGAGCGCACCGCCCCGCCGCGCTGCCGCCCGGCCCCTCGGGTGTCCGGGCGCGCCCCGCGCGTGGAGGCGGGGCGCGTGGGGGCGGGAGGAGCGGGGAGCAGTGGGGGAGTTGCACGGGAGAGGCCCGGGCGGAGCGTTGGCTCCGAGCCAAGGCGGCCAGGGCGCGAGCGCCGGGAGGCGGGGTGGGGGCGCGTGGAGGGCCGGGGCGGGGCCGGGGCGGAGCGCCGGCTTGGGCTCCGAGCGGCCGAAGGGGTTGAGCGACTTGGAGCGGCCGCTGGGGCGGGGCCGGGGCCGGGGCTGGGTGGGGCCTGGAGGGAAGGGGCGGGGCAGGGGAGAGCTTGAGGCCGCGACGCGCGGGGGTGGAGCCTAGCGGACCCCGGTTGGCCCAGGGCCGAAGCGCGCGCGCCCGCTCCCCTGGGAGTTTGCTTGGAAACGGAGACCCGGCAGCGGGTGATGCCAGGGCTCTTCGCGAAGCCAGATCGCTCGGGAAGCGAGGCTGGCGGCGCGCCGCTGCCTGGGAATGAGGCGACCTGGCCAGCGAAGGGCACCGGCAGGGTCGCTTAAGCTTTTGGGACCTCTGTCTCCCCATCCTTAAACCGAGGGAGGTGAGCTAGAGGCTGAGGTCACTGTCGGCGCCCATGCTCAGGCACCTGCTCCTTCTCTGCGCTTCTGTCCAGCGGGACCTACGGGAAGGAAAACCGGCAGACCAAAGGGGCAGCAGGGGACACGGAAGAGGGAAGACACAGAGCCACTGCAGAAGCAAGATGGGTGTCTGAGAACCCAAAATGCGAACAGATATATATACAAGTTACCGGACACGAGACTGGGTCCCGGGAGAACCCTAGAGGCCGGCTGTGCCAAGGGTTCTCCGTGTCCGTAACCACATACACCTGGGAAGAGAGCACAGCTCTGTGGTCCAGGGGCCCCGAAAGGCCAGCCTCCAGATAACATCAAAGACCCTGCTGCCAGAGGGTAGCCCAGCTCCCTCTCAGTGGTCTGAACTCGAGGAGCTACTTCTGTGCACAAGGATCTGGGGGGATCTGGATCTGGGGGGTCTGAGCCACTCCAGATGTTGGGCTGGTGGGCTCTAACGACCTACCTTGCTCAGAAGCAAAGCAGGGGGATTGGGAAATGCACCTGACAGTGGCCCCTGGGGGCAGATCTGGGAAGGCCACCAAGTGAGCATGGCCCCTCTTGCCTGGGGAGCTTGTGGTGCATGGGGTGTAGAGGGGGCCTGGACAAGTCACTTTCTCTCGGGGCCTCAGCTTCCTCATCTGAGACCCATCTGACTCCCTGGAGCAGTGGCTTTGTCTAAGCTGTGATGTCATGTTGCGGAGGCCCCCACCCATGGTTAGCCCTCTTCGTGGGTGTGACTGGCCTCACGTCATTAACCCCTCCTGTGGGAGGGGGCTTTCCCTTGCCCTCATCTGTTCACACCCACCTCACCACCAGGGCTGGCTCTGCAAAGAGAATGCTGACCGAAGGCAGCCCCAGGCCACCCAGGCTGCAGGCTCCTGGGGCGCCCCTCCCCTACCCCACGACCATGGCCTCCTGCAGGCCATAGGACCCCCACCTGAAGGCCTGCCTCCCACACCAGGGAAGTGGAGGGCGGGGGCGGGGGTACACAGAGTGATGACATGTTTAAAAGCACAGAGATTGCGTCCAAGAAAAATGAAGTGTGAAATTGTAAACGTGTGTCTGGAAGGCACTGTAGGCATTACTGAGCTCCCTTCCGCAGGAGTGGAGGGTTCTCACGTCGGCCCCCCAATGAGTCCCGAGGATGCAGGCCGTGGTGGTCCCAGCCCAGGACCTGCAGCGGGACCTTAGCTGGTCCAAAGGAGGCTGAAAAAGATGAGCACCCCCTCCTGCCCCGTGTGAAGCCACAGCTAAGCCACCCCAGATTGCAGCAGGAGAGGGGTTCTGATAGACCCGTCCAGTCTGGGGACTGGGAACCAAGGCCTGCAGGGCCACCATGCTTTGTTGGCCACCAAGCGGGAAGACCCAGGGCCCCGTGCACTGTGATGTTGGAGACAGAACTAAGGGTCTGGATTGTGCCTTGGGGGGATGGCAGCAGATGAGGTAGAGCCACTGTGTACCCCCAATCCCAGCCAGACCCTGGAGACAGGCTCCCTCACCTCCCCTGCCTCTGCCTGCAATCCCACCTTGCTCTCAGGCCCTGGAAGTTCTGCAGAGAGGCCTGGCACTCCCCACTTCTGCACCTGCACCCCTGCATCCACCCACACCCGGCCCCTTGTCCACCTGGAACGGCTACCCTGGCAGGTCCCTGGTAGGCCAGCCACTCTGAGTCCCCCCAGGCTGGAGCAGGAAGGTGCATGGCTTCCTCACATGGGATAGGTGTCCACAGACCAGCATGCAGCTCATATGACCCTGATGGCAAACTGAGGCCGAGAGGCTAGGGACACAAACGCCTGATCCCAGTGTCCCCACCTCAGCACAGCATGACAAAGGGTTGTTTTCCTGGGAGGGCAGGCCTTTCTCACTGGTGCTCTTGGCAATGGCCAATGGCAAGGTGGCCTGTGTGTCTGTTGAAGAAGCCTGGGTTTGGAGCTTCTCTGGCTGGAAGCACTCTGTCCCCCAGCACGGCCACCTAGGCCTGCTTGGACACAGGTCGGCTCTCCAGGGGAGGATATGCAGAGTGGGGGTCAGGACAATTTGCTGCTGGCAGTCCAGGGCCTGCAAGGAGATGGGGGAATGGTCCTGACCAAGCTGCATGTCTGTGTCCTTCACATATCCCTAACATGGGTCAGGACTGGGAAACATACAGGGTAGGAGGAAAGGGCACAGGCCCAAGAGGTCTGCCTCAGACGAGGGAGGGGCTTGTGCTCCAATAAGAAAGCTACCCAGGGAAGGGAAACTCGAAGGCGTCAGTACTGGATCCTGATGCATTCGCAAGTATCTAGCTTCATGGGGAGCCCAGCCCCATGAACTGCTGGAATCCCACACAGCAATGGACCCTGAGCAGGTCCCCAGCCAGGCAGAGGGGGCTGCACAGGACTCCGCAGAACAGCAGACTCCTGCAAAGTTGGGGTGCCATCATGACCCCAGGCTGGGCAAGGACAGGTCCCCCTCCCAACGTCTCCAAGGCCCCATCTGGATGTGGCTGCAGAGGGTCTTCACTGTCTGCCAGTGATGCCCTCGGTCCCCTCCTCCCTGGAAGGGCACAGAAATAGAGCGTTGGGAGAGAGAGACAGAGAGAGAATGAGAGAGACAGAGAGATGGAGGGGACAAAGACACAGCATTGGGGGAGGGACAGAGAGAATGAGAGACACAGAGACAGAGAGATGGAGGGGTCAGAGGACAGGAGGAAGCCTGTCACCACCCAATCCTTACCCCTTCTTTGGGCCTCAGTTTCCCAGTCAAAGGCAATGAGTGTGAAGTTCTAGGACACTCTGGGAGGGCCAGGCTGGGGAGGTATTGCCAGCTACTGCCAGGATGGAGAGGGGGTGCGGTTCTCTGGGTGGTCTGGAAAGGAGCGGGCAAGCAGCGGCTTATCAGGAAACATTGCTTAATTGGGAAGGTTTATGGGGCCAAGCAGGGGGTCTCCCTTGGGGAGATGGTGAAAGCCACTCATGAGTCATTTGAAACTGAGCTGGACAAAGAGCTCAAGGAGAAATGATCCCACCCAGCCTGCCAGTCGTGGGCAGAATGAGCTCATGGGCTATGGGGCGCGTGTGTGTGTGTGTGTGTGTGTGTGTGTGTGTGTGTGTGTGTGTGCTTGTGAGCATGTGTGTGTGTGCACGCTCATGAGAGAGAGAGGAAGGAAGAGAAAGCCGGTCCTCTCGCAGCTAGGACTGGGAAGCTGAGCCCAGCAGAGCCTCCACCACATCTCGTCTCTGTGTGACCAGGCTGCCCCCTGCAGGTAAGCGAGGTAAGCCCTGCATCCCAGGGTTCAGCATCCAGCCAGCTGGACCAAGCATCTTGGTCCAGCGTCCTAGTCAGCACCCACTTCAGCCTCCCAGCCAGCATCCATCCTGGTCCAGCCAGATGCCGGTCTGTGGACACCTGTCCCATGTCTCAGCCAGCATCCTGGTTCAGCCTCCTACTCAGAATCCTGGTCCAGCCTCCTACCTAGAATCCTGGTCCAGCATCCCAGCCTCACCCACTTTAAACCCCAGCCAGTATCCTGGTCCAGGGTCCAAGCCAGAATCTGGGTCCAACATCCTAATCAGCACCCAGTTCAACATCCCAGGCAGCATCCTTGGCCAGCCTCCCATCCAGCCTCCCAGCCAGCATCCTTGGCCAGCCTCCTGTCCAGCATCCCAGGCAGTGCGCACTTCCTCTGGACAGTGCTCAGCACAGGACCTGCCCTGAGACAGATGCTAATGGACACGGAGTTTTTTCCTAATGGTGGAACACCATGCTTTCACACCACCTTGCCCTCTGTGAGGTGTGTGCTGGAAAACCTGGGTGCAAAGTAAACATTTCTTAACATGATTCAAAGTTTATAAAATTTGCCGTTTTGAGAGAATTGTAGATTCACATATAATTTCAAGAAATAATAAAGGTGGCCCTTTTGTCTTCACCTGGGTACCCTTGGTGGAAAAATTGTTGCAAAACTTTAGGACAATATGGCATCCAGGGAACTGACATTGACACAATCAATTGACCTTGGTGCATGCACTCTGTGTGCCCGTGTATTCAGTTCCATGCAGTGTCATCACACGTGGGGGTTCATGTGTCCACCGTCACAGTCAGGTACACAGCACCTCCATCACCACTGGGTAACCCCTGTGCTTGCCCTTTAGAGCCACACCTACCCTACCTCCCACCTCTGGCATCCACTGAAGTGTCCTCTAT